CAATCACCTGGGTGAGGGGCCAAGGTCTTAACCCAGCCTTTCCAGGAAATATCCCTAACCTTCACCCACCCTTACTGAAAACCCCTGTATGCTTGCTATATGACCTTGCTCCCCCTTTAATCAATACTATCTGGGTGACTATACTTGTAATCTTACTGGTTGGTTGTGGTTTTGCCTCACCTCACGCCAACCTTGTAATTTTCCGTTGTGTCTTATAGTTTTGTCCCACTTTGTGCCCGCCTCACCACATGGCTTTGCTGTGTAAAACATCTTTGAAAAGTGGGGTGAGTTGCCAAAAGTCTCTCTTAGACAGAAGTTTTCTTTCCCTTAATAAATTTTTCCTATTCTAAAAAAAAAAGAAAAAGAAAAGGTACTTTCTTAATAACAGCAAGTCAAATGCTCATTTGATTTATTATCAAAAACAGTACATTTCCAAAAGTATTTTTACATGTGATATCAAATATACAATAACGAACTTGACAAAAGCTGGGGAATGATTCACACAAAGGTTTACGAGGCCTGTAACATGTGAATAATAACTACAAAGCATATTCTTTCATTATCACAAAGATTCATAGCACAAATTCACTCACAGGACAAATCAAACCACCTGTTTTATAACATGATAAACTTTTGCCTCTACACTAATGTAAAAGGAGATAATTCAGGCTTGGAAGAAAGGTGCACACCTGCAATCTAAGCTGCTCAGGAAGGTGAGGCAGGAGGATCACAAGTTTGAGGTCAGCCTGGACAACTTAGGCAAGACCATGTCTCAAAACAAAAAACAAAAATTGCAGGAACCATAGCTCAGTTGCAGCACATCCCTGGGTCCAAAAAAAAAAAAAAAGGAGATATTCAAAGCTTATTGGAAAGGATGCCTACTGATAAGAACAGGCACCCTTCTTAACTGAATTGGACTCATTCACCAGTGTACAATTAATCTTGATCTTTGATAAAGAAAGCGCTTTGGAAGTTCAATCCCTAGACAAAGCTGACTTTGCAATCTCTGTCAGAAACACATGAAAACTGGGTATTGTTTTCCAACACTAATATCTTAGCTGAACAAGGTGATATAAATACTTCCTAAAAATCCTTTTTCTACTTTTGCTGTTGTTTGAAGTGGCTAATTTCAAGAGATTAACATCAAAGGAGTTGTCAGAATGATTTACTTCGAGTTAACTTTCCATTTCAAGCACTGTGTATTTTATATACTTGGGACTACAGCAGATGTGTGTTAGGTGCATCCTGCCTTGATGTGCAGGAAAAAGTACTAAATAAGCAGCATTTTGAAATATAAGGCCTCTCTTGGCTAAGCACAAAGAAAGAATCAAGTCAGAGTCTGTGAACTCTGAATAAATAGAAGCTCTTACAGCTATGTCTGAAACCTGAAACACAAAGTCTACTTAGATTTGATTTTGACTGTCTGAAATGCAGGTGTTAATAAGCACCCACCATATAAGATGGGTTTTTCAAGTATATTCACCAACATTATTATTAAACTTTCCTATGTACCCAACACTTTATTCTGAATTTTTACAAGTTTTACTAAACATACCCTCGGTCAGTGGTGGCAAATCTATACCACTCATGCTGCAGCAGGCATGCAGAACCCTCTCTGTTGCCACACCAGCCAAGTCACCCCAGCAGCTAAGTAATGAATAACAGTTTCCCCCCGCTAAACCAAAACCTCAGTATTCAGGTTTAATTGCAGTGTAGGCAATAAGCGATAAGCAATAAGTGGGCTTTGAGTTGCACTTTGGGTACTCTGTCTTTAAAAGGTTCACCATCACTGCCTTAGATTCTTAGGCAATGTTGGCACAGGACAAGTAAATGTAAACCATCCTATGACTACAGTGACACAAAAATGGAAGTTTGGCTCCCATCAACCCCAAAACTTATCTGCTCTTCCTCTGCAGCAGCTGCTGGTTCCAGAGAAGACAGAATTCTGAGGTGGTCATTTCCCCAGTGTACTGAGCTTTCATTTGTGATTTAGCTGAGCAACTCCTTTATCGAAAAGTGTGGTTTTCACTGAAATCTATGCTTGCATGCTTCTTTTATATTCTTCTTCAGGAGAGTATTGTAATATTCTCACAGCTTTCAGCATATTTAGGGTATTATCTTAATTATTTTTTTCTTTCCTATTTCACCTCTGCTCCTTGTCTTATTTCTCACTAGTACAAGAAAAATTTCCACCTGACCATTAAATTCTTACCAGTACCATTCTACCTGTCTCCACAGCCTGCTGACCAGTATCTGATTCAGACTGTATGTTCTAATAATTGTTGTAATATGAAAGAACTGGTACAAAAGAACAGGGTCTGGAGACCACTGCTGAGGTTTTATAGGTGAAAATTTAAAAAGGAGCTTGATACATAGACAGACAGACAGACAGACAGACACATGCCCAGATGGACGGATGGGATCATCTTGAACACAACACACAGAGAAGCATCTTTCTGGTTCCTTATTAATCCTTTTATTATATGCTATAACAAACAAAGAAAAAGAAAAACAGGGAGGGGTGTACAACCACTCTCGGGGGCCAGAAATTAAAGAGTTCTAAAAGCTAAAACCCTTCTGGACTGACTAGAACATGCTGCTGCTAAACCTGAACCTGGCCTATGAAATTCACAGCTGGGGTCTTGGCAACAAGAGCATATACTTTACTGCTTCCATTCTTACCTCCCTTTAACCTATTCTCTAGTAATTACTTATATTCCTTTTCTCCAAATATCTACTTAGCCACTGGGACATAGGCGGGGTGAAGCATGCAGTCTGCCACCAGAGCTTAACAACTAGAACAAACAGAAGTCTGATTAGTTTATTGCTCTGCTGAAAACTTTCAGAGTCATTAAATACTCCTCAGAATTTGGCTTCTAAGGCAGGGCATAGTGGTGCACCCCCTATAATCCTGGCATTCAGGACACTGAGGGACGAAAATCACTGAGTTCGAGACCAGCCTGGGCTACATAGTCAGTTCAAGTCCAGCCTGAACTACATGGTGAGACGCTGTCTCAAGGCGGGGTGGGGACAATTTGGTTTCCAGTAATCCTTTTAAGCTTCTTCTGCTTCTTTCTGGCACTGAACTTTTTCTCTTTTTTCTTCCTTTCTTTTTGCAACACTGGGGATTAAACACAGGGCCTTTGCAATGAGCTACATCCACAATTCTTTTGATTAATTTTGAGTCAGGGTCTAAGTCACTAAATTGCCAAGGGCGGGCTTGAATTTACAGTCCTCCTGCCTCAGCCTCCCAGAGTGCTGGAGTTATAGGTGTGAGCCACCATATTTGGCTAGGCCCTTGCATTCTAAATTCTGGCCATGGTGAACTACTTTTGGGTCTACCATCTACCTGGTGCTACTGTCCATCTAACTGTGACCTGACATGACTTTGCTTAGATGTCTTATTCTCTGAACAACTCTCTCCTGATAACTCAAGATGAGATTAAGTATAAAGGGAAAAAGGATCTGGTGTGGTGTGCAACCTTAATTTTTTTTTCTGACCAAAAGTCCCTCGTCCTCTCTTCTAGCATGCAAAAATATACACCCAGTAGAATCTGCTCAAAAAAAGGTTGAGGAACTCTATAATTGTGTCTTTTCCTCACTTCTCTAAAGCAGTTTCTAAAATGTGATTTACACTGTTTTTCAATTCAAGAAAGAAAAGGTTAAGGTGGACTGGGGACGGAGCTCATTGGGTATGGCACTTTCCTAGCAAGAGGCCCTAGGTTCAATTCCTGGCATCACAATAATTTTTTTTTTTTAAAGAAAAGAAAGGACAGCATAAAAGGGAGATAAAACTGAAGAGAGGAGATTAATATTCTAGTCTTTCATTATAATTCTGCCATTTAAAGGCACAAAGTGTGCTGGAGAGACTACTCCACACAGTAGGCAGAAAATGGGCATCAGAAAGGCATTCTATGCCCCATATCCTACTGGGGCTCTGTAATTTTTTTCACTACTAATCAGAGTGGTATATCTGGTACTGATAGCTGAGTAGTTTTGTTTTTTGTTCTGTGAAAAAAGGTCTCACTATGTAGGCCAGGCTGGCCTCGAACTCACAGTGATTCTCCTGCCTCAGCCTCCTGAGTGCTGAGATTACAGGCGTGCACCACCATGCCTGGCAAATGAGTGGTTCTGGGCACAGAGTAAGTAGGAGCATGCTCCCACTGCCAGGCACAGCACACCTTGCTTTTCTCCTTCCAAATGGGCATTTTCTGGGTTAGAAGAAATAAAACTGAGTATTCATTCAAAATTTCAATGTCGAGTTTTTTTCCAGCTCTACTTGTTAAGGGGCACTTGTTAATCAACAGCTCTACAGCCAGGCATGGAAGTATACATGCCTATATTCCCATCAACTTGGGAGGCTGAGGCAAGATATCACTTGAGCCCACAAATTTGAGACCAGCATGGAAATAGGAAGCCCTTGGCTTAAAAAGAAAAAAGAGCTAAAGGGATTTAGCTCTGCGGCACCACGCCTACCTCACAAATGCAAGTTCGTGAATTTGATCCCTGGTACCAAAAATAAAAAAGCAGGTCTGCAAACAAAGAAGGACCTCCGTCTTCAAAAAGTCCACTGGCCCTCACAGTAAACCCACATGACCTGAGCTTCCACTTGTACTTATTCACATTGTCTTTGTGTTTGTCTGGCTCCTTTTCTTCAACTTGTTAAATAGAAGAAATGGTCTTATTTGCTGTTGTATTCCCCCCCAAAATCAAGCATCTACTACCCTTGATACATAGTAGGAACTAAATATATAATAAATGAATGAATCAATTTGGACCTTTGGTGCCTCAAAAATCAAAGACAACCATTAGAAGCTCTCAGGAGAAACACAGTCCCTACTGCAGTCAGTAAAAACTCTTCAGCTGAGGGCTGGAGATTTAGCTCAGTGGCACTGTGCCTGCCTCGCAAGAGCAAGGTCCTGAGTTCGATCCCTGGTACCACCAAAAACAAACAAACACACACAAAACTCTTTAGCTAGAACTCTTCAGCTCCTTCTTACCTGATCGGTATCGTTCATCCCTGGCTCCTCCAGATCGACTTCGGTGGTACTTAGAGGGAGCCGAAGTTTGAGCTGCAGCTGGAGCAGGTGTCTGGTTTCTATGTTCTTTATGTACTGCTGAATCAGTTTCTAGAAAAGGAAATTTGAAAGATGGTTATCCAATAACAACTACTGTTCCTTGAGCACTTTATTCTCTTAACAGTGAGGTCAGTACTATACCCCATCTACAGTAAAGGGTTGGAGAGAGCATATATATTTATATGATGGAAAGTGTGTGTGTGTGTGTGTGTGTGTGTGAGAGAGAGAGAGAGAGAGAGAGAGAGAGAGAGAGAGAGAGAAATGGAAAGACGCCCAGGCCAAAAAATATCATCTCAGTGTTACAACTAACAATAGGCTAGCAGGAGAAAAAGTAAAAAACCTATAGTAAAGATTCCAAGGCCTGGAGGTGACAGGGACATGGGATACAAGCATATGACCCCCTAATTGAAACAGTGAAAGAGAATTGCCTGAGTTGTTTCAGCTGCCACAGTGTGAGTCACTCCAAATACACACACAAGGCAAGCAAAACAGGGGCTTGTCATGCAAACTTAGCTGCAGTCAAGCCTACCCGCTTTCCCACTGCCTTCACCACGCTATCTCTATGGATAGTTATCCCCATACCCACGGTCTAATCGAGAATCTAGGGAAGTGGGGCATAAGCAGAAGAAAAACACTTCCTGCACAATTGAAAGTACTTGTTGAATAACAATTTCCCATTTCTCCCCATATGTTCTGGCGATCATCATTTTATTCTCTATCAGTCTATTTCAGATACCTCATATTTATCCTTATGTGACATTTATTTCACTTAGTGTAATGTCCTCCAGGTTCATTCCTATTATTATACATAGCAGAATTTTCTTCTTAGTCATATTTTAAGTTCCTAAAACAGCTCTTAGTGGTGGCCAGAAAGGCAGCTTTTATATAGCAAATTAAATGCCCAATACAGTAAGATGTCATCTATGCACAAAGTGCTACACCTATGCAGCGAGGGCTCCAGACTCCTGTTGAGAATCAATTTATATAAAAAACAAAAACAAAAAAACACACACCAGACTCAAAGCATAGCCAACTGGGTAGTAGAAGCAACAGTTCTATGTACCCTAGAAAGGGCTGACAACATCAAGGTATTACAGGAACTGAGATTCATAATGACAATGTCATACCTTTTGTAAAAAATGGGCTGGTCATGGTGGTGTACACCTGTAATTCTAGCACTCCAGGAGTGCTAGCGGCACATTGTAGGAGCCTGAGGCAGGAGGACTGCCACGGGTTTGAGGCCAGCCTGAACTACATAGCAAGATCCTGTCTCAAAAAGCCAAAAATAAATAAATATAAAGTCCAACTATAATACAGGCTCAACCGGGCTCAACCTTCCTGTAAGACCCATGAAAGAGCCCTCTTAAATGGTCCAGGGAAGCAACCTGGAGAGCAAATAGTCACTGACACAGCTGGGCACGATTCTTGACCCAGAAAACCACAGGGTATAATAAAAAAATATTTTTTTAAGGTTAGATTTTTTTTTTGGAGACAGGGACTTACTATCCAATTTAGGCTGGCCTTGAACTCACTATGTAATCCATGCTGACCTCAAACTTGTTCCAATACTCCTGCCTGACCCTCTCCAGTGCTGGGATTATAGGGCATGCATCATGCGCAACCAAGATTAAGATATTTTTGTTTGTTTTGTTTTGTTTTGTAGTGGGAATCCAACTCAGGACCTTGCACTTGTGAGGCAGGCATGGTGCTGCTAAGCTAAATCCCCAGCCTTTTGTTGCTATTTTTTGCAGAACTGAGGATTGGACCAAGAGCCACAAATAAGCTTGGTAAGTACTCTACCACTGAATAATATGCCTGGCCCTAGATTATTTTTACATAATGTGTTTATGGTGAGAAGGAAGAATGTATTTTAGGATGCTCTGTACTAACATGTATTTATGAATCTAGAAATGCTTGTTTTTTCAGAGGTGGGGTGGGGTTGAGACAGGGTCTCACTATGTAGTTGAGACTGACCTGGAACTCGCTATGTAGCCAAGGCTGGTCTAGAACTCACAGTGATCCTCCTGCCTCAGCCTTCTGAGTGCTGGGATTACAGGCATGTGCCACCACACTCTGCTTAGAAATGCTTGTTTTTGATGGTTCCTGGTAGCCAAGATTCTCGTGACAAAATTGAGTAGAATATGTTTCAGACACTGAAAATTTTAAATGTCTGAGGTTGAAAATTATTATTATTTTTTTTTTGGTACGAGGGATTTAACTCGGGTCCTTATACTTGGCAGGCACCAGAACCACTGATCTAAATCCCCAACCACTGATTTAATTTGATCTAAATTAAATTTTTAATCAATCTAAATATCTCTTGATAATCCATTTAACATGAGGATTATGTTGAATTCACAATATTTTCCATTCCTCTTTCATGTTAGTTTTATTAGTCTTGAACAGGGGTCAACAAAGGAGAGCCCGTGGACCCAATATGGCAACTGTCTTTTTCGCAACAGACTTACTGGAATAGCCAGGCTCAGCCATTTACATAGCTTCGATGACTGCTCTCACACTGTAAAGGCTGTGATGGGAACTGTATGTTTTCAAAGTCTCAAATACCATCTGGCCCTTTACAAAAAACATTTACCAACCCCTGGTCTATAATAAAAGCTCACAGTAAGTTTCTGCTTTGTATGGGCACAGTACAACAGTTTTCAGATTTTCTCTTACTTATTCCTCACAACAAACCTTTGAAGGCTTTGAGCTCTTCATTTTTTTTCCTTGAGTGACTTTCAATGAAAGAGTAAATGGCCCAGGCTAAGTCTAGACTTGAGCTCATCCTGCTCCAGCATCTCTCAGAGTGCTATGATTACAGGTATGAACCCCGTACACAGGGTGTTTACTTTTTTTTTTTGGTACCAGAGATCGAACTCAGGACCTTCTGCTTGCAAGGCAGGGAGTAGAACCACTGAGCTAAATCCCTGGCCCAGTCTCATTACTTTTTAAAGATACAAGTCTGTGGAAAATTTTTTTGTTTTTGTCTTTTGAGGTAGGGTTTTGCTATGTAGTTTGGACTGGTCTTGAGCTCACTGTGTAGCTCAGACTGGCCTCAAACTTATGGTAATTCTCCTGGCTCAGCCTCCCGAGTGCTGGGATTACAGGTGTACACCACCATACCCAGCTACTCCAATTAACTTTAAATGGAGAACACAAAATAGCAGAAGGCTATTTTTATTTCTATGATGATATGATCAGATGATATATACTGGAAGGAAATCAGACTAGTAGTATACATGAGCTATTTTGCTTGTAAATAGGCACAAAGAAAATATTGTCCCAAATAAATAGGACACACATGTGTAAATACCAAATTATTTCTCTGGTATGAAAAACTAAAACTGTAAATAAGGTTCAAATTGTATAACTGATAATGTGAAATAGGAAGTAAGAGATAAAGGAGTGGGGGCGGGAAGGGTAGGGGAAAGGAAAGAAGGGAAAAGAAAAAATGAAAACAAACTCTTTGTAAATAGGGAAAGGTAGAGGGGGTGAGGGTGTGAAGGGAGGGCAGGGGTATAGGGAAAAAATAGGAACCAAGCTACATCATGTAAAGGTACAAGATCCCAATGATGAATTAACTGTATTGTATACTTAAAAAGTATCAATAAACTTAACAGGAAAAAAAGAAAATAGCATCTCATAGAGCACCAAGTTTCAAAACACTAACTTTTATTGTCATTTTGGGGTCTTAATGAATGTACAACTGAATTATCTATCAATTGTTATTTGATTAAATAAGCAGCTCTGCAAGAAGACACTACGCCACTCTGTTCGGTAACTGATGCATCCACAGTAGTTTAAAAAAAAAAGTAGTTAATAATTAAAAGGGAGAAAATAAATATCAATTACTATCATTTCAAAAATTATAGATAAAAAATGTATTTTTTCAATATCCCCCCTTCACCTTGCTTTTGTTTCATGTTTTTAATGTAATTAACTAGAATAGAAAAGATAATAATGTGGTCTAAGAGTGAAAATTACTTCAAAGAAATGGTAGGCAGAAGTAGGAGTTGCCCCATCTGTTTGGGAAAAAACTGGAGAAAATGAATGTTTCCAGTCACAATTAGATAGAAATTACCAAAGCTCAAACTACTAGACAATAGCACACAAGGTCTCTGATAAGACCCTGGAGCCACGTGACACTCAGCAGCTTGCTTCACGGCACAATACCAATGATGGAGCCTCAATAAAAGTGAAAGAAAATCATTGCCTTTTTTCTTTGAAGATAGAAAAATTTTTATTACAGACACCAAACCTCCCTTCTCCAATGATTTAGAAGTAGAAGACAAAATCCTGCAGATACAAGAACGCAGAAAGTAACACGATGAAGAGTGGCTGGAGACAGAAGGCGCTGCACTGAGCAACACTGACCCAGGGTTCTCAGTTCCTGAGAGAATTCAGTCATCTGAGCAAACCAGGTCTCTTTGGGCTCTAATATTATGACAGCCATTTCTTTGTAGTTTGTCAGAAATGAGGCCAAAATATCAATGTGCAATTCTAATAAGTGGCTGACAAGTATCTCCAGTGAGTATTTCTCAGGTGTCCAAACCACAAGGCAACAGACTTCTGACAGAACTGTGATACAAATGCTAATATATCTGCTTTGAGTTCATATGAGGTTGTCTTAAAAAGGTAAAAAAAAAAAAAAGTAAAATGAATTCCTCGGAGCTGAATACTTAATAAAGAAACCTCATATTTAATCTCTTTGAACTGTGAACATTCACTCATTCTACGCATTTTATAAATTTTTATTTCTGGGTCCTGGAGATTTTAAATATTAAAATTTATAAATATACATGCCATATATTTTATATAGACATAATTATAAAATATATTTTGTAATATATAAATATAAAAATTTTATTATAAAACATATATATACTTTGGGGCGTGGTTGTACTAAGAAGTGAGCTCAGAGGTGCTCTACCCATGGCACATCTCCAGCTCTTTTCACTTTTTATTATGAGACAAGGTCTAGTAGCTTCAAATTTGTGATCCTCCTGTGTTAGCCTCCCAATACACAGGAGTGAGCCCCCATACCTGGCTAC